TTCTCCTGTTCTGGCTTTATTTCAGTGATTTTCTCTTCATCCAGCTCTTTCGGGTTATGCATCTTCATCTTGTCCGCTGTATACTCCTTCCACGGTGTATTACAGTTCGCGCGGCCTTCTATATTCTCGATTCCTTGCAATATGTGCGCGTCGTACAAGAACCACTCCAGTACAGGCAAATTTATTGCTCGCGCTAGCCTCTTATATCCTGTATATCCACAAGCTGTGCATTTTCCATCTATAACGGGACCCCCGAGTACTCCAGTTCCATTTGTGCCCGCGCTCTTCATACTCTTGAATGCTATCCTGGAATACTCGACACCTCTCTTGTAGCCTCTCTTATCTGTACAGTACATCTTTTTCAGTAGATGTCCAAATACATTCACTACTTCACATCTGAACATATTCTGTTCTTCCTCATTCATGTGCACGCCCGCCTGCGTCGCGTTTGCACCCGTATGCCACCCATTTGCAAAGGCCCATGCAACGCTCATAACTCTGCACCGTATGACATCGGCTACGGTTTGCCCCGTATGATAGTCTTTCCCGTCGTTGAAATCATTCCAACCACTATTATAGCAGTTTGCCCCTATGGCATCCGCGAGGTCGTTGTGTTCATCCATATATTCCTTAAATTCCTCCAACACTTGCTTCCACTTGTTCCATTCGTTATCCTGCATGTTGCACATGGACATTAAAAAAGTGCCCATGGGCACATTGTATCTATATTGTTACACATGAATACATGTACACCGTGACATATATGTGTAAGTGGCCTGATGAACAAATTCCTGTTCTGTTTGTTGTTACCGTTGCATGCGCATCTCGGCACTCGCTGTGTAATATAACTTACATTAGGAGGAACCACATACAGTGTGTTAGATGGCCGCTGCAGTATTTTGTCTCCTTCACACTCTTGTTGTTCCGTGGACGCCGGTGTCCCTCCGGCGGCAGCACCCTGACCAGCCTGACCACCACCACCACTACTACCACCCTTACCACGAGCACCAGATGAGGTCGTCCTCATGCCACTGCCCGATGTCGTCGTCGTTACCAACGCTGTTGCCGGTTTCACCGCTACGGGTTTGGCAGGGCTGCCGGCGCCGTCACACCCCGTCTCCGTCACACCCCGTCTCCCGTCAACGCCTGTCCCGTCAACGCCTCTGCCGTCAACGCCTCTCCGTCAATGCTTCTGTGCGTCAACGGTTCTCCGTCACCCCGTCTGCGTCAACCCCTCTCCTGTCACCCCGTCTGCGTCCACGCCTGTTCCGTCAACGCCTCTCCCGTCAACGCCTCTCCCGTCAACGCTGTCTCCGTCACACCGTCTCCGTCAACGC